AGTATTGAGAAGCCTGCAGCAGGATTTGGTTTTGTCTCTTCTACTGTTTTTCCTCTGTTTTTAGAACGATTTGGTCTAACAAAATCTATTGGTTCGCCAAACATGTTGTTTATGTCCTCCATAGCTTCCTTTAGGTTGACTGTAGGATCCACAAGTCCATGGTGGCAGACATTTTCAACCGCTGGCTCATCGGAGATCGTTGAACCGACAAACCTACGAACAACTGTGTCTTCTCTGAATCTACCTCGAGGAGGAGGACTGTTTCGGTCTGCTTCTTCAGAGCTTTCAGGTGAATTGTCTCTTGGCTGGAGAAAGACAAAACCTTTTCCAGACTCATCATTTTCGTCTGCAGTGTCATCATCATTTTCATCGTCGATGAATATCTCCAAGGAGTCTTGATTAGGTTGGGATGCCTGAGTACTAGTACCAGTCATTGCTTTTCCACTTTTCCCTGTTTCACTTTGGAGATTCTCGTCCACGAAAACTTCAAAGCCATTGTTGTAGCCTTGATTTTCTTTGTCTTGACTTCCATGTAGTGATCTTCTCTTAAGTGGAGCAGTTTCTATAGGCTCTTTGAACATGTTGTTGATTGCATTCATGGCTTCCTTCATGTTTATTGTGGGATCCACCAAACCGTGATGACAAGCATTTTCTGCTTCAGGCTTTCCTACAATGGCTTTATCAACAAAATTCAACACTGGCGTATCATCACTTCCTGGTTGTGTCCTCTCAACCTTCTGGTGCTTGCCAGACAGTTTTTGTTCCTGACGCTGCAAGAGGAAACATAAATTCAGACATATTGCAAAGATGATACAAGTGGATCAATCAAACTAATGAAAACAGACTACCTGTGTCTTTTTCCTTTTGTGCCTCTCCATGCGACTAAGGAATTGCAAGTATGATTTCTGTAACTCATCCATGGGTTCTGCAAGGCTAAGCACAAGAGAGGTACATAGTCAATCTATCTGAACCATGTCCTTCAACATATAACATATGAATGCTCAAACTTGTCATTGATTACATTCTTCATGCCTACACAAGTATAGAGTTAATTGATATGTGTTGCATACGCATGTTCACCTAATAGAGGTTTACTCATCTTAAACATCCATCACTAACATTTTCCAGAGTTTCCAAGATTACTTACTTTTGCACCCCAAGACGGTACATTTTCTCAGCCTCCTCGAATCTCTTCATCTTTTCATAATGGAGAGCATATGCCTGGTAGAACAATGACCTCTTGGTCCCTATACTGTTTGCTTCCATAGTTCTTAAGAGAGCTTTTGGATCATCTACAAAGTCCATCTAACCAACCAATAAAATTCATCATCAAGCATTAAAACCCACAAGTACTTAAAGATCTATCTAGCCAAC